TTACATAACTAGTAATGTTATATATCTAACTTGGAGAGCAAACCCATCGTTTGTTCAACTCAGCACAGAATAACTCGTCCAAGAACTTTTTTAACGAATAAGTCTAGACATCTATTTATAAGTGAAAATGACATCAAAATCACATTTTAAGATTTTCCAACATGATTATGTGATTCTAAGATAAGAATACATCATATTATGTATAATTATCATACAGTAAATAGTCTAGTAATACGATATACTACTTAAAATAATATTATTGTATCACTAAAACATTAACTCATTACAATAAAAACTCCATTTATGTTTTGACGTTTTAATAAACCTTTACTACTGACCGTGCAAATATAAGGGTTATTAAAAAATATGATTCCACATTAGCAAACTTCGATCTTGAGACTTGGTAATTAATAAAGCAAATTCTGTAACTAATGAGAATTGTATTATACACTAAATGAAAGTTGATATTAAAATATTTCCAGTATTTAATATTATCTTGTAATGTAATCTTTGGCTACTATTTTTATTTTACTGAAATTATTTCCCCATTTACGATACACTTAAACAATTTAGTGGTTTTAAATCGTGTACTATCATATAAGCAGTCTGATGTTTGTAAACTTCGAATTAGCCCTACTTTATATTAAGAAGGTGGCAACGCATCGCGAATACTGTTTCAAATGTCTACAGAAAAGTTTTTATGAATATTTTAATCTATTGTATTAACACCTTTTTACATCTTGATATCTTTCCTGTAATAAGTTTTATTTTCTCTATGATATACACTTAAGATATTATTTTTTGGANTATTGACTGAACAGTTATTAAAATAACCGAGTATTTCAGAACAAACAACATTCGATATCCATCTCTTAGAAACTTTTAAAGTTTCTACTTCTGCTACTCAAATTTTGACTAATAATTAACAAAATTCTTTATTATCACACTTAATTTTAACTTATATTTTTAAAACTCAGAATAAAATTTATAATAATGACGATTGAATACTTTTTTCTAACTGGAAAAGTTTAATGAAAATTCCCTTCTAAAAACAATTATTTTATTTAAAACAAGTTAGAAATTATACTTCTATAAAATTATACCGCAGATAATATAGTTATAAATACAAATATTCCTTTTATGAAATGATACTGTGTACTAAGGAGTTACAGTAGCATTAATGAAATGGGTATACCTACGTTGGTTGGGTGTGGTTTGAATAAATATTTTAATATCTTATAACTGAACAATTTTATAAACAATACATTATGACACAACACAATATAAACAGTATGGAGGTTGGCCATTACAAGACTGCACTTTCATCGAATCTTCCGATGGTTTCAAAACAACTGCCTATTGCCTACGCTGATTACATCTGCAACGTCACGCTCACATCTATCACATACGATCCTTTCTTATGTCGGGACTGATCGTTGATTTACTCTGTGGAGCAGAACGCGGCTATAGAAGTATAACTTAAAAAATATGTTTCTGCATTATGTAAATCTTTTCAGTTTTTACCAACTACTTCTAGGGTATTTCAGGGCTGACTATGCCCACTGCACTAAATAATTGTGCACATTTTTGTTGTGTAAAAATTTTTGTACACAAAAAATTTTGCAGAAGCTAATGAATAAAGACCACAAAATGTTTTATTATTATTTTTGTGTGCACAATATTTTTGCATAAATCAGCATACCTATGTATATCATATTTAAATTAGACATTGTCTATGAACAAAACTTTACTAATTTAGGTACAAATACTGAGTACAAAAAAATGTTAGTAAAACACTTTGTGATCGTTATTTAATAGCCTGTGCATGATACTTTGTGTACAAAATTTTGTACACAATAAAATTATTATACGTAATCCTTGTATGCATTGGACACAGTCTGCTTCTTTCAGATACAAAATAATCTAATCAACTCTTTTATTTTTGTATCTGTTTCAGATTCTCATAATGTGATTCCTATACTGTTCAAGTCTTAGAAAAGTCTCAAGGCCCTATGACTTGTCATACCTTGTGGAAGAAATACTGCTGATATGCCAAATAGTAACAATAATATTAATATCTTCTAAATTATTGTTGTTCTGATAAGGTAAAGTTACTTTTACGGTGCTTACTTGGACTAAATGATAAAAGCCTTTTAGTCAGGGTCACCTGCTTAAAGTTATTTATGCATGATGATTCTACGGTCAGCAAAGTTATCAGAGATGAAGTATTGTAGCTAAAAGATAGGACTTTATATTAAAATATTTGCGTATGCTGTTATTTGTTAAATTTTTTGAAGAGTACCTGTATTCCTCTAGAGAACTGAAGCACAGGTTTTACGTACGTACACATACAAGTACTCTAAGAATTGGTTGCTAAAGTTCAAAATTTAGTAATCTGCAGTAAAAGTCTCACAGCTATTGATCACTGGAAATAAAATGTTTAACATTTGAAGTTTGTATTTTTTATTTACATGCAGGTCAGAATAGCAACTAACTTGACGGGTAAATTCATATTTCCGCAGAAGATGCTTAAAGATCTCTTCAGGGATCTGTCAAGACAAAGAAAAGTAAAACACTTTTTTAAAGTTGATTTAGCTGCTAAAAAAAACTTTGATAACATTTACATTTATTTAAGGCTTTACCAGAACATCACCATGGCAGCTCACCTAATAACCGTCACATTCTAATAAATTATTTACTTGTACCAAAAATTAACTTAAAATTAAGATATGGACTTTATACGTGTTTATCAATACTGTATTAGTAATATGTCAGCCAAAAGATCGATAAATAGTCATTTGCATAATTAAATTCATGAATATAGCTACGTTCGTTCTCTGCTCAATTTCAAGCAATCATAGTGAATCTCACGTTAAAAGAGAGGGAGAGAATACGAGGGCGGTCAATCTTTCTCTTTTGTACGCTCGAGCAGTCTAGGCCCTTATCTAACCTAACCTATGCATACATTCTCGTGAATAGTCAGAATCACTTGAATATATTTGGAGTAGAATACTTGCTTATTTTACTCCCAAAAATTTTTAGAATCCCCAGTCTCCCCAAGAATTAGCTTGAACAAACCTACTGAGATCTTGTATAATTATTAGATATATAATAAGTAAACTGCTCCGTTTGAAGCAATGGTCGAGAATCTCACGTAAAAAGAGAGAGATGTCGAGGACAGTCAATCCGTCACTCTTGTACACTTGCGGAGTATGGATTCGTAAGAAAACTGCATGAATACATTTGCTCTGCTCGGCTGTTCCCTGTGTAGTGAAAGGTTTAAAATATCGAAAACGTTTTTATACGAAATCAGATGGGTGATACTTTAGAAATAGAAAATATTGTATGGAAACAAATTCTGGTAATACTGAATAAGCTCAAAGTATTTTATGGCCTTGTTAAATTTTTAAGTAAAAAAACATGCAACTCATTTGATTCTGTCTCTCTTTATTATAGTACTCTAATAAACTTATAATACTATGTATTTCTTATTTCAATTGTTTCTTCTTGATGATTCTACTTATAACACCAAAAATATTGCGTATTTAAAAACATTAAGCGAATTATATAACAGATCTTTTTTTTTAATCTATGCTACTGTTTGTAACGCTAAAAATATTACGCGTTAGGCCTTCTCTTTCCTCCTCACAATTCAAACAGAAAATAAGTATTTTTGAAGGTTTAAAAATAAAATAACGATATTTACCCTTGTTTAATTAATTGTCTCTTTTCAAATTGTCAAACGATTAAAAATTTTTCTCCTGTTGCTAACAAATAAATTTGTATTTATTTTGATTAATCATGGATTTCACGTTAAATGTGTTTTTGCTGTTAGAATAAGACAATATTGAAAGTGCATTCTTAGAACTACTGTCTTAAGTTAAAAATTGCTTGAAGTTAATTTTCTTATTCGGGACAAAGCTTTAATAATCCCAAAAAAACCTTGAAAATAGTTGATCAAACTTAACGCAATTTATGCGACACTAGTAAACTTTTTTTAACTGACAAATTGTTTGAAGTCGTGATTTTCAACGTATTCTTTCTTACCATCATTAAAAAGGTAGCAGAAGTAAAACAATATCCAAAACAATAAAATTTCCCCATTTATGGTCATCATTGAAAATCTTTAAATTGAGTCATAATTTTCGTTTAAATGATGCTATGTATCCTGACCTTCCTGACCTTAAAAAAACTTTGGAGGTATCATTTTATTTTGAAAACTTTTAATTCGCTTCCAGACTGCTTCAAGTTCGTCAACATCTTCATTATGGCAAAACTAGTGCAAAATTTCGTGAAAGTTCAAATAAATACAATGTAATTTAACATTAAACCGGAGGTGGTTAAACAAATGACAACTTAGCTGACTAAATGATAATACATATACTAACTACTTAAACTGATTTTACTACGCAAATTAAGACCTTATATATAATGGCCAGTAAACAATAAAATTACCGTACTGCGGTTTATATATTACACATTATTTGGGATCGTTAGAAAACAAAGTTGAGTTAGCGGGACATTGATGATATTGACATTTGAAAAATTAAAATTTTTTCCCAAACAGCTCCAGGAGACACTAACAAGAGTACAGTATCAATTTAAAAAAAAAAAAAAAAAAAAAAAAAAGAATAAGTAAAAAAATGTATTTTGTTTACAAATTATTTTTTCCCCAAGAGTAGGACGAATAGAAACAAAATGTGCAAGGTTATCATTGAAGTTCAAAAAAATTATAAAAGATACAGTGTTTAATGCATTAAAATATTTTTGTTGTAGAAAATCGTTTGCTTTACTATTATGTCTTTATTAGTTAATCATTAGCAGTTTGTTATTTTTTTTTATTTTTAAATATAAAATTTAACTTCACACTTCTGCTGCCTGTAAATTTTTTTATCAACAATTTAATTTATTTAGTTTAGTCTATTTAGTATATTCAAATAACTTAAAAGTATCAAAAGACTTAAGTAGATAAAAAAGCAAGGAATAATTAAATCACAGACCATCCATTAATTCCAATGTGAAGTCCAAGTTGGAGCATACTATAAGCATCTTCGGTGTTACCGTCAAAAGAATGAACGACGCCAGCCGTGAGACTGTCCTTGTGTTCTCTGAGGATGTGGACAAAATCGTTGGCAGCATTCCGACAGTGTAAAAACATAGGTAGCTTCAAGGTCGAACAAAGTGATAACTGCATTTCAAAATATTTTTTTTGAGTCTCCTTAGGACAAAATTGAAGTCTATCATAGTCAAGGCCCATCTCGCCGATTGCGATGATTTTACTTCTGTTATTATTGGCAAGGTCACATAGAGCTTCAAGGTATGCCTTTGGATCACCAGACTCTTCAATTTCATTGCATCTCGTAGGATGACAGCCCACCGTTGAAAACAGCCGATCTGTTAATTAAATGAAAGGTTCATTTACATAATATATATCACACATATACTTGATCATATATAAATGCATGCAATTGAGACCTAAAAACCAGGAGGAGAGCTACTCAACAGCCCAAAAACAAGATCTAGAAGTAGAAAACTGCTACTAAAGCTTATCTTAAAAAAATATAAAGTATATTGATTTTACCAAATATTATGCGTGTATTATAAAGCATATTTTAGAAAACTTAAAATGTATTTAAATGTAAGAATGAACCAGTCAGTCTTGTTTCATGAAAATATACTTGACTAATAGCAGATATAATTTTTAATCAGGTAGTAAAATACCATAACTTTATAAATTTTGTATAATTATGTATGAATTTTACTGTCAGAGCAGCGTTACCAGTATTTAGATACAGTACTGCACATAAGTAACGATCTCAGGGAAATAAAATAAACCGAAAATTAATTAGATATTTTTGCAAATCATTATATGTTGATACTTTACATTTAGACCTTATTACACCATGTAACATACAATACGCAGCTGATGAAAACTAACAAAACTAGCAAGTTATATGGACCAAATTAATTTGCTTATTTTTGAAATAAGTTTTAGAATCAGTCAACTAGGTAGTATCCATGTTTGCTGTCAAACAAAATAGCAACGTTGAGCTGGTTACGCTTAAAGATACGGATGCTCAACTCTAATATTACGCTCAAGTTAGTCTCTGATCACCAGATTATAGATACATTCTACATCCATAAGAAATACACTAAAAGATATTATAGACATCATTTTCGAACTCTTACGTTAACGTCGTTTAGGATTTATATATTTACTAGCAGCCCCTCGTCTCAGCTTCACCCGAGGCTTACTAAACGGAACACCGTAGTGTGTTGACATGTAATGAGAAACGTTTTCAGTCAGAAATTTTACGTTTATTTCTGGCCAGATTGTGGTACAGCCATATAACTCAGAAGGGTTAGAGCAGGATATGCTCTGGCTAGACACGTGTCCAGATATTCCGCCGGAGACGTCATCAGTTATACTATATTTTTTATGGGTGGCACCCGACAATCCTGGAGGTTCAGGGCGATAGTAGGCCTACATTACTTACTCATATGAGAAGAGCGACATCGGTAACCGGGATACACGGAAAGACCTTTTTCATTGAAAATCCCCTACTACATTCAGTTACGAGTTTTTAATAGCTTGGTAAGGTTTTTTCCCGTACCAGGTCCGTCTAAAACCTACGCTCGAAAATGTTGGACATGTGAAGTCTTCTTCTACTGGCAAATAAGATTATATTAATGCTAGGTACGGTATTTTCTTTCTATTGTCTCACTAAAAATCCTCTACCACATGAAGTTATGTGTTTGTCATAGCTTGGTAAGGATTTTTCCCATACCAGGTCTACTTAAAACCTACACTCAAATACGTTAGTAGTAGGTTATGTTATTTTACTGTTAGGTATACTGTATATTTACTCTCCAAGTATATGTATCAGTGTCAGATTTTAAGAGGCTTACTATACACACACACGTATGCGCTCGCGCGCGCGTGTGTGTGTGTGTGTGTGTGCGCGCACGCGCGCATGTGTGTATGCATTTAAAAATATATAATAAGTACTGCTCTGCGCACTATAGTACGTCGTATACACTGACTGGGTGCATCTACTTTTCACGGCTACTGATGGTAAGGGAAAAAACCGTACCACCACCAATAAATTGTCGTACTGATGTCCTAAAATCAGTATACTCAGTAAATAATTTAAGATCACTAAAGGTGAGACTAAAAATTTCTGTGTAAGTAAGCAATAAATATAACCTTGGTCTAGTACTTCTTGTGATCAAATATTGAAGTAGGGGATTTTAAATGAAAAAGGTCTTTCCGTGTACATAGCTGCACGAAGATCATCTACATTCTCGATGCAGCTCGATGAACTACCAGTAGACGATTGCATGAATTCCCGCGACGCTCCGGCCTGTTATAACCACACTTATTCAATTGTGTTGCAGGTAGCTTCGATTTCATGCCGACGTCATCTAGCGGATCTTACTGAACTAAAGCTAAAAGCTGGCGTATTTTTGCAAAACTTTGAGCTTATTTATTGATATTGTTATTAAATTTTTCAAGATAAAAACCATCCTAAAACCACCTAGGAAGTGTCATGAATCAGTGTGCGAAATTTCAGCAAAATCGGTTCAGTAGTTATCGCGGTTAGCGATTACAACGGTTTTAGCCACTTTGCTTTATATATTAGTAAGATAACTATGTAGCACTATGAATTAACTTAACAACTACCAAGAAAAAAAGTAACATTTATTTTTTACACATTAAAAAATAAATCACGCTTAAAATTCGGATGAATCAATGAGAAAAACGTAGAGAATAACTAAAAATCGTTTAGTACAACTTCAAAATCTCATTTGGTACTGTAATTTTCAAATTTTCCACAAGTTCTTAATTATTTTTTCGAAGATTACGCTTAATAGATCGTTAAAATTCCGAAAATATTCGTAAATTTTTCGCTTTTAGAAAATACCAGTTTATTTGCAAAAACCTAAATTTTGGAAGGGTTCAGTTATCGTCGTGCTAAAATTAACAATAACAGCAGCTAGAATCTCATATTTAAAATCATTATTAAGATTCTAGTATCGTCATACGAAAAAATTAAAATTTTCGCACATAGAAATACTATACTTGATATTGCCGTAGACCGAAACCACACTTCAGTAGTAGTCACTGGAAATAGTCTATGACAATATTCGTACCTTACTGGCTTGTAAGGAATTCGTGTTTATTTATCACACAAATGTATGTTGTTAATTCCACAGAATTTCTGTTTTTGTATATTTGTTTCTGTTTATCACTACACTTAGTCTGTTTCTCCGTAAAACATCAAATTGCAAACTATCTAGGACTGTTGCTTGTATATTTTAAATTGACTACACGAATTGGAAGCACTCAGAGAAAAAAATTTTAAAAATTTACTAAAAAATCCTTACAAATAGCCTATTATTATGTAAGGTAGCATACACTAAGAAAATTTTACAGTAGCGTTTACTACGAAGGCTGTGGTAAGAACTGCCACAATTATTTGTCATTGTTTCGACCAGAAAATAAAGTAAATGCTACGATGCCTTATAGCAATGTGTACTACTGTACTTAGTAGTAACGTTGACTATAGACTGTATACAGAACTATCACGAAGATTTTAATATATACATATAACAGCCACTGACTATGTACACGTCGTCTGCGCGGCACTGCATTTGCAGGCTGCATCAGTCTCGCATTTCCCGTCACTATATGCACCACGTTTGACGATTTTTCTTGAAATATGCAGGATTGCGGACAGTGTAAAGGGCTTATTATTTGAGCTCAAGAATAATAATTGTCAAAATGGATGCATTCATGCGGGACGTCTTATCTAATTGGAGCCTGAAAAAATTTATAGATAAATTTGAGAGTAAGTATGCAAAAAAAATTAACCTAACCTTTTAGTTTAAAATAAACATCACAGAGGTTGGTATGGATAAAGAAATGTTTCTTGAAATTGATAATGAAATAGTAGAAAAATTGTTTGAAATAAGTGTATGTGGTTTTAAAGAAAAGTTTTTTAACTGTTTGAGCCTTTTTAAGAATGCCAGTAGTGCATACTCACCAAATATTACATTAAATTTTTTTTCTCGTCAAATCACAAATGAATTGTCGAATCATTAATTAAGTCAGTTCACTGCAGTAGATTGTGGTCAGCACTACTAAAAAAATTGTGGTAGAAACTACCACAGCAGTATTGCCAGTTTGACTATAATCGTTTTACTATAATCTGTGTAGTTGCATCAGCGATATCTCATAGCAGACGCTACTGTAATATTTTCTCAGTGTATAGCAATGCATGCGTACGCCCTCGCTGGCCTGGGCCCAAAAAGTAGGGCAATAGTAAGGAGAGATCAGCTAGAAACGCGAGAATGAAAGGATCAGGCCTACGAGACTGGAAGACACGCGCAGCTTCCTTCGGATACAAGTAGTGCTAATAAAGTATAAGCTATCTACAAGTCACACTATTATTTATTCCCACTCTGAGAAACCCACGTAACAGCTGGTGCTAAAAGTGAGGTACAGACAAAACTTTTTTACGTTTTGTCTCGTGTGTGGAGTAAGAAAAACAAATACTTGATTTCGGTAAACAAAAAAAAATTTTTTTTCAATTAGTGAATACAACAATAACAAAAAAAAAAAAAAGGAAATATCGCTCATCGCAAAGTGAAAAAAAGTGTAAAAAGTGCCAGATGCCAAATTCAATGCTTCAACTGCCACATTAGAAGAAATCTAGAGGAAACGTTAAAAGACAAGAAAAATTATCTGAAAAAAATAATCTTTAATACTGCAAGGAGACCAGACGAGGAAATAATTGTAAAACAACCTAGTAGACAAATATACCGGGACGCGAGAGACAGCTGCTGTTTACTTAACTCAAGGAAATATGGGAAAGCGTGGACGATCAACACAATCACAATTACGGACACGGGATTCTAGGGATGTAGATCAGCCCAGCTTTATTAATTATCTTGGCAGGGACGACTTGGTAAGTACAAACTAAAAAATATAAAATATCTATTTTATTCCTACCTACCCATCCCCAGGAAAAATTGAAGGAAGAGGCACTTCCTTAATTATTTTAGAGAAAAGAACCTTGTATTTTATAAAATTTACAGATTGAATTTTTATCTTTACCATTCTATAAATCACTCATAGTTATAAAGCACCAAAAATGCACAGTCTAATATAACCCCATAAATGATAAACGCAATTTACAAAAAAAAACCAGAAAAAGATAACAATAATACAAACTAAGTAATAAGCGTAAAATTTTACGTCGATCCTACATGATACAGATACTAAAGCTAACTCAGATATTAAAAAAAAAAACTGAGTCCGCTCGAAAGTAGAGAAGGAGTGAAACTTGACAAAAAAAGACCATTTATTTTTTTCTCACAACCTAAGCTTT